ATGGCTTTACTCCTGCTGTAATACACAGTGAAATGAATGGGGTCCTATGGAGGGGGTGGGTGACCTCATGATGTCGAGGTGAACCCAATAGTTGCGTTCGTCTGGTCGTTCGCTTTAAAACGATGTATCATTTGTATTACAGGTTACAATGGAAACCTGCTATTGTTTTTGCTCGAAGATTTTCAGAAAAAAATCCTTATTTCTTCTGCGCTTTGAGCCTTAATTTGACCCCCTGAACATTGAAAAATTCAGAACTGGCAAAAATTTTTTTTTTTTGGTGTTTATTTTATGGGACAAAAAAAATGCCAGAACAGCGCCCCGTACAAAAGTCAGTTTACATTGCGCCTATGGGAGGGGGTCGGAGGTCAAGTTTGTCGTAGAGCCACAAAATTCGGCACACATGTTCCTCAAGTCATGAGTTATCATGGCTCTGCCCCCTGACAAACAGGGAGCTCATTAATTTCAATGGGAAATGGAAAAATTAAAATTGATCTTTTTCACATGTCGGTTGGAAATCAACTCCTCCTCGGCTGTTTCATCGATTTGTCTCAAAATCACTCCACATGGTCTAAACACATGTACCACCAATAGTTGAATACAGAATTTGGATCAGTTAAACCTTGTCCGAGCAGCGGAGCGGCAAAATGTGACATTTTTGTTAAAATTTTTGACAAAAGTAAATTTGCTCCCGTTTGCACAAACAAAGTCTGATTTGCACAAAATTTTATGGGCTTGATCCAATTTAGTTTTTTCAAAATGTTTGAAATTTTGTCATCTGGATTAAAAACATATGCTTAATTTTTACCCTGTTGCCATGGCGACAACAAACATTCCCCATTCTGTGTTTATGGGAAAATCGTTAAATCTCTGAAAAGTACACCGTGCTCAAACATCAAACCAGCCGCCGTTTCACTAATTTGTCTGAAAATCTCTCCACATCATCAACACATAGACCATCAATAGTTGAATATAGAATTTGAATTAGTCAAACGGTCTGCGCGTGACAGACACCCAAAGTGTGGTTATTTTCATAGAGAGGTGTGAAGTTCCCATGTTGTCCAATGGAGACTGTATGGACCATGGATCTTTTATATTAACGTATGGACACACTCACAGATTGTATGTGCAAACAGGAGCACATTTACAAACTGGGTCACATGACAGTGTGAACAATGACATTGGCCCATTAGCGCCCCCTACAGACTGAGTAAAGGTTTACATGGGGATAAAGGATTTTAGGTTTTCTGTTGTTTGACCTGATATTTGACCCACTGAACAAACACAAAAACTTACCAAACTTTGCCACAAGTTTTTTCTGGCATAAAGTGTATTATTTTGGTGTTCTTTGGTGTAACACAAACAAATTTAAATCGTAGGGGGCGATAAATGCCACCATTTGCACATACAAAGTCCGATTTGCACAAAATTTGAATTGATTGTTCAACTCATGGGTTTGGGTAAACTGAAAATGTAAAAGATGAAATTGCAGCTTTAGCGCGCCCTACAGACTGATTCAAGTGTTACATGGGGAGAATTAGGTTTACCTTTTCAATAGAGACACACAATCACTGATCATAGGAATTAAAAATGCACAGTGTCGCTCCCGTCAGGGCTTTAGGAAAATGCCGTGTCAGTGCCACCTCCTTTGCGCGGTGCGGCGAGGGCCGTTCGACGCCGCTTGCGGTTATAATTGTCCTTGTCTTTCTTAATAATTGATTGATTTATTTGTTCTCTCTTCTTCTCTTTCAGACCTTGGACCAAAAACTGGAATAAAGAAGTTTGCGTCATTTCTGTTTTGAATCGTGGTAAAAGTGATGATTATAAAGACATGTATTGAGGCAAGTTTATATTATAAGTTGTGACTTTTACTGTTATTTAAATGAAGACCATTCAGTTTAGAATCTGAGCTTTAATCCTTGGTCCACAAACATCTGTAGAATCTGCACTAAAACTATAAGTAATAAACATGTAAACAGCAGTGATTGTTAAAATTTAAAATAATTTATTGGTGAGTTTTAAAATAAACAGTTCTTTTTTATATTAAAGATTTGTAAATAGATAGATAGATAGATAGATACTTTATTGATCCCCGAAGGAGAAATTCAGGTGTCCAGTAGCAGCAAAAAGAAAAAAGAAAATTGATCATTCTAAAATAAAAAAGATAACAATAATAATAATCAGCCGAAGCCCTTCAGGTCACAGCAGCAGAGATGGAGTAGCCTCTCGGTGGAGCAGGACGGGTCAGAGCAGCAGAGGTGGAGTTGCCTCTCGTTGGAGCAGGATGGGTCAAAGCAGCAGAGGTGGAGTTGCCTCTCGGTGGAGCAGGATGGGTCAGAGTAGCAGAGATGGAGCAGCCACTGGGTGGATCAGGACGGGTCGCAGCATCACAGATTGAGTAGCCTCAGGGTGGAGCAGGACGGGTCAAAGCAGCATAGATGGAGGAGTCATTGGGTTGAGCAAGACGGGTCACAGCAGCAGAGGTGGAGTAGCCTCTGGGTAGAGCAGGACAGGTCAAAAGATGGAGTAGCCGCTTGGTTTGGACCATTTTCTCTGCTGTAGTCTAAAGTAAAATGCTAAATGCTTCATTAGCATTTTTCAGAAAGTCAGCATTCCTCCAGTGGATTTTCACCTGATCCGCATGGTTTGGACCATGAATCCTCTCTGCTCTGGTCTGGACCAGTACAAAACTTTGCACACTGTACTGAAGTAACATCTTAGGCAGAAAAAGCAATAAAAATAAAAATTGTAAAGCACAAAACAACAACTGTTAATCAGAGCTACTAAGGACTTGCAGCCGTTACCCAGCGCATTTTTAAAAAAAAAAGAAAAAAGTTTATAATTGGAAATATACTATATCTGTCTTGTAGAAATGTATTTTATTAATTTCTGCTTTTGTTTTGTCGTCTCTTTCTCAGGGCTCATGTTTTAGAATAATTTATGAAAAAAGTGAACAAAAGGTTCTTATACAAAAGGGACCCATGTTAAACACAATTTAAAAAACATGTCGTCGTTAAAACGATGCATACTTTTTATTTTAAAATACGTCTACACATTGATTTAGTTAAAACTGGAGTTTTTCTTCCGTCAGAGCAGAGGGTTGCCAGTTTCAGAGTCATGTCTGACGTATTATCAGTATGTAACGCAGAAAACTATATAGATATATTAATCTATATAATATACAGTTATAGAAAGAAACAGCTGTTTCTATGCTGTTTTGTTTTACGAATTGTACATTTGTTATACTTTATTGTCTTAAGACACATTTTCACTCTCTGGCTTTCAACACCGCGTGAGTTGTGTGGTCCTATTTTTATTTTGTTTTATTTATTTATTTATTCTTTTTAAATCGGATAACTAGTATTTTATTGTTTTTATCACATGTTTATAGTTTACTGGTATTTTATTGTTTTTATTTAATTTGTATTGTTTTTACTTTGCGCATATTTAAATGTGTTGATTTTAGCTCTGTGCAGCACTTTGGAAACTTGTTTTATAAAATGTGCTATATAAATAAAGTGGATTTGATTGGATTTTATGGATTTTGTGTTATTACCTCCAAATAAATCAAATGGTCTATTTCCTGCAGAACAATTTCATGACGTGTTTGAATGAGTTATTTCTGGATCTTTCTGGAGTGTGTTGTGTCTAAGTGGGTCGGAACACGCACTCGTTCGGTCAACATAGATTTCCTGAAATAGAAAAGAACAATGAGCCTGAAACGTTATAAAATACTGCCCCCTACAGGACACATGTAGGGCACACACCCACTGTTAAATAGATCCATACCACAGATACTAGATCCATGCTACTACATGCATACTACAGATACTCTATCCATACTACAGATACTACATCCATACTACAGATACTATATCCATACTACAGATACTAGATCCATACTACAGATACTACATCCATACTACAGATACTAGATCCATACTACAGATACTACATCCATACTACAGATACTACATCCATACTACAGATACTAGATCCATGCTACAGATACTAGATCCATACTACAGATACTACATCCATACTAGACGCATATAATATAGTATAATATATACTCTCGGCTGCTTTAAGATTTACAATAGTTAAAACAAATGGCCAAAGCGCAGGACTTTTAACAGCTGGAAAGATTTTACCTCCAAGTTTTCTTTCAAACAGCCTGTTTTGCGTTTTCCTACATCACCAAAGTGTTTTGATATAATGGAAAAGCAAGTTTATTTGTGTCGCACATTTCCTTCACAAGGTGACTCAAATCTGGATCTTATGACCAGCACAAAGCCACGACACTGTATTTGAAAGGGCCAAATGTGACCCGGGTCTTATTTTATAACAGTATTAACAGCACAAATCTGATTTGTTGAGTCCGACCCAGACAGACTCAGAAATGGAGGACTCGAGTATTTGGCAAAGTGAGTGAAGTATGAACACACAAACGGAGAAAACTGGATCAAACAGAACAGCAGTGAAATATTGATATACATTTAAGTGAAAGCCAAGACCAGTGACCTTCTACTCAAGCATTTATGGTTGGAAAATATGTAGGAGAATTATAATAATATGTGGGAGGTTTTTAAGCACGTTTTACTTTAGCAGAAGTAAGCTAAAACCACTGTAATACATGTTTTTTTTTTACATTAATGTCTGTTCCATTCCTTACAGAGACAATTGTTTTGCCTCTGTGTCATACTTCATACAGACTTTTACTTTAAACTCTTACAGTACACATTTTAGAGGCTATACCACCCATTTTAGTTTTGAATTTTTAATATTTTAGCCATTTTAACTATTGTTTAACTTTGAATATTTTCCTGTGGATCAGTCGCGGTTACTGTAGACAGAAACAGCATCGTGGCACCATCTGGTGGTTCAAGAGTAGAATAGACTTCTTCATCACAAACACACTCTTGGTCAGTTTTTTATTGGCCTTTAAGGAATAATTTGACATTTGATGAACTTAAATCCACAGATGAAACTCTTAACATGATAATTTACTCCCGTTCTGCGATGGCGACCAGATGTACCTCTATCTCTGCTTCTGTCAAAGTCCTGGAGGAAACATAAAACAAACCGGGAAACGGTTTAAAGTAAATGTATTGTTTTCTAAGAGGTGCTAAACTATGATGTGTGAATGGTCCAGTTTATGATGTAAAGTGTTGCTAAAATAGTTAAATATGAACCTGAATGTAGGTTTGTCTTTGGTGACCACTCCGACCTCCAGCTCAGTTGCTTTGAAGTCGGTCGAAAGGACTGAGGACAGACAGGAAATGGCCATCTACAAACACACACACACACGACACATGACACACACACACATAGATGCACACACGACACACACACAGACACACATATACACACACACACACACACACACACACTCAGACACACACACACACACACACACGCAGACACACACACACCAGCTGTTATGACCAATGACCCTGACCCTAAAATACCTAATATTATACAATATAGAATTCTCGGACTGAGAGATCCATAGATATAAAGAGAGATAGATCTAAAGTTAGATCTAAAGATAGATATGTTATTGATCTCTAAGTAAATTGTGCATTAGTCCTTCATTCACATTTGCACACACAGGATAAAGTTAAGATAAGATTAAACATTGTTAAAGTAACAATAAATGCATAAAATGTGAGAAGTTAAGGCTCTGCAAGACAATTTTCAAAACATCTCCCATTTGTTTATCCCTTTTAGCAGGGTTAGGGTTAGACTAAGTTACCAGGAAAGACATTTCCGCTTCCCACAAACACAGTTTGAAACCATAGGCTCTTTGGAATATTGTGATGTCACATGAACACAAACTATTGCATCACACTGCTGTCCTGATAAAATGCAATTTGACATTTCTCCAATAATAATCATCCTAAACCACTGTAAATACATATTTATCTAACATCTTTATCTAATCCTAACCTAGACTGTTTTTGTTGATCGATTTCACAGTGACAGCTGTACATACATATGTATGTATGTGTTTTATGTATGTACTCGTCTAGTGAATCTGAATATTGTCATCCACGAAACAGCAGTAGTTCTGAACCCAGTGTGGCCTGCACCTGCACGGCTCGGTCGTGGCTCAGCTCCGGTTTCTTCTTGAGTTTTTTCTCCAGGTAAGAGTTGGCCTCAACGTGTTTCACTCCGACCGCTGTGGCCCTGAAGCTGCAGTAATAACCGGCCGGGTCACACTTGTACAGCAATGGACCCATCTGTGGGTCCATGGCTGCTAGAAGCATACCTGAACACAAATCATAATCCCTGTTATTATAACTTATAACTAACCTGTAGTTAGCTGCTGAGGGGTTAACTAACCCTAACCCTTCGGTTATGGACACTAGTGTGTGTTTGGGCTTGTAATTGTTGTATTTTGTTGTTTGTGTGTATTGTTTATGTTACTGTTTGACGTTTCCTGTGTTTTTAAATAGTATTATTATTATTGTATTTTTATGTTATTGTATTATCATTTTAATTATAGTAATATTATTGTTATTATCGTTATAAATAATAATAATAATAATTCTTTATTTACAGTTTTTTCCGGTTGCTTGAACACATTTTGCAAAATTTCGCTCACAGTCTCAAAACTCTACACACACGATGACCTGACACACACTGGGACATAGACCATTCACATCTGTGTCAAAATGAAACTCCTTTATCAAAACTCAAACTCTGCTCTCGAAACTAAACAATCATTTGTCAAAATGAAACTCTGAGGCAAAATGACACACACTTGCATCACATGAACACACTTTCAGATTGGCAGCAACACACTACAGCACTTTATATAAAACACTGCAGTCATTTTCACTGTTCTTATTCTGTTCATCAGTTCGTTTTCTGTGAAGCTCAATGGAACTGTTTTGTTCTCAACAAAGGTTTACCAACAACCAGGAAGTACTGAAAGGTTACAAATAATATCAACGCAATACTGTACATCACAGTACTACAGTATACTGTACATCACAGTACTACAGTATACTGTATATCACAGTACTACAGTATAGTGCACATCACAGTACTACAGTGTACTGCACATCACAGTACTACAGTATAGTTTACATCACAGTACTACAGTATACTTTACTGCATTTGTGTCAATGCTGTTACTGTAAACCAAAAAATCTCTAATGAAAAACTGGTCAATTGTGTGTGTGTGGATTATGATCATGGTTCCTGCTCTGACTGTTTCTACAAAGGCAAGTTCCTGCTGTTGGTGAACAGTTGCTGACCACCTCCTCCTTGAGATGTTCTTCTAGTCATTCTGTAGAAATATGCAACCATAATTTTTTACTATATTTTTCGTTTTTTACAATACTGTATACTGTGCACACCACTATAACATCTCAGTACTATGTACTTTACTGTATTGTATGTTTCACAAAACTACAATTTTTCAAAAGAAGCAAAAGCCAACTTGCAATTCAGTACAAGTGATACAGGAAAGTACTGTAAATACTGTAGATACAGTCTGCAGAAGAGTTACAGTACTGTAAATACTGTAGATACAGTCTGCAGTAGAGAGTTACAGTACATATGATACAGTACAATACAGTAAATACTGTAGATACAGTCTGCAGTAGAGAAGGTCCTGATGATGCAGCTGTGTCTGGACTCTCTGCTTCCTTCAGTGTGAGGCCATAGTTTATCACATGATACACTAAAGTTGCTCTAATGTCTGAAATATCTTGAACCACGTCCTCATCTCTCCTAGGATTCCTCTTCTTCTACCTCTTGCTCTTTCTGCCTTCAGACATGTAAAGTTCTGAAAAAGGCTAAACTGAGGCCTGTTTGTGTCTGCCTGATGTGTGTCACGTTTTGTAAGTCAGTGTTTTCAAGTGTGTGTCTCAATGTTTTCAATCACACAATGTGTTTGGTATTCTGAATAGAAGTGTCTTATGTGTGACACAGTGTGTAGTGAGCAGGAGAAAGTGTGTTGTAGAAAGAGAAAGTGTGTTTCAGAAGGCGAAAGCGTGTTGTAGAAATGAAAGTAAAGTGCAAAGCAGTACTTTTTTTTAAGGAATGGCTATATTTTGTTTTAGGTTCAGTACAAAAGCTTCATGTTTTGTAACTTTTGTCTAAGCGTGTGTCTGTAGTGTTCAAGCAGTAGGAAAAAACTGTAATAATAAATAAAGAAGTGTGAATGTAAAGACACTTTGACACTAAATCTCACTATGACATTGACAAGTTTGAATTGCATCTTCTTATGGTTGTGTAAACATGAAACATGGATTGTGTATCACTCACAGCAGCCCAGGGGCCTCATCTCTGCGTTCTGAGTGTAAACCTGGGAGATGTCCGCCAGCCTCCGACACAACATGTCTGCTGTGATGTCATAGCCAAACTTATACTTCCACTCCCCGGCCTCCACTCGGGCCCTGTGCACCTGCGAGCGGCTGTCCCCTGGAACACACATTTAACATATACAATGTGAGATTTTTCTGAGCTAAAAGTACAGGTTTCCAGGACTAAGAATATAAATATATATATATATATATTTCAAATAATATATAATGAAACATACAGATAATAATGCACTGGCCTCGTGTGGGTCAGAAAGTAAGACTTAGAGTCTCTCCATGGCTTCAAGGTACATCTCTGACAACTCTGACGAGCACAGGGACTGGCCTCCTGCTGGGACTCTGAGGAGCACAGGGACTGGCCTGTGTCAGAGTTTGTGTCTGGCCAAGTCAGGACTAAACATGGGGAGCCGGCGTTTCAGATTTACAAACAACAAAAATCTGGAACAGTCTTCTGGAAAATGTGAGATTGACTTCTTCTCTGACAACGTTCAAATCCAGGTTAAAAAGTTCTGTTTCTGCAACAACTGAAGGATTTTATCTTTACTGTTTTTAAACTGTGACTATTTAGGATTTGAATCCTTGTCTGACTGTTTCTATCTTGTTTTGTTCAGCACTTGGAGCTGCCTTGTGAAGAAACTGTGCTACACGAATAAACTGGCCTAAAACCGATGATGGGCAGGTTTGGTGTGAGATTCCTACCGTTGTGCCCGGTCATCACACAGCCGATTCTAGGAGTGAGTCTGAACATGTTGGTCACGGTGGAAGAATCCAGAAGTTTGTCCTAAACACAGGAAGTAGAGTCATTTTACACTAAGAAGAGACGCACACATCTGCTGATGCACCACAACATCTGCTGATACACCACAACAGCTACTGATGCACAGCTGCTGATGCACCACAACATCTGCTGATGCACAGCTGCTGATGCACAGCTTCTGATGCACAGCTACTGATGCACCACAACATCTGCTGATGCACAGCTGCTGATGCACAACTGCTGATGCACCACGACAGCTGCTCTTCACAAAAACATTAAAGGGCAGCCATTTTAGCTCGGTATCTGCTGTGAATGTGATCTCACAGCAGATTGCATAAATAACACTGCAGTAGTCAAACACATTTCAGAACACGTTGTAAAGATACCAAAAATAAAGTCTTACTGGGATTTTCTTCTGCGTGACAACCACGGCAGAGTCGGCCCCCCGCACTCCCACGGTCGTCAGCCCACTCTGGGCGATGGCTTTGAAGGCGTACTCTAGACACACAGTTCAAAAGGTGACAGTCATCGATTGATGGATTTGAGCAGAAATTGTTACGTTCATAAGTCTATGTCTCTTCAGACTGTTCAAAACCTGCACCACTGAAAGTATAAACACAATGAAAACACAAGCGAGGAAAGAAAATAGTTCTAAGGTTTAATTCGACTCATTATTTGAGCCTGGATCTGTATTTCATTGTTGTCTGAAATAAAACTTCTATTCTATATCTCTTGTTTATGGATATACCATTATATTTATAATAAGAGTTTGCCGTGTTCAGTTTAGTATCAATAACTATTTGTAATGAACACAATACTGAATACCTACATTAAAATGTATCTTGTAACTTATTACAATATGAGAAATTTGAACAATAAAAGTTATGTATTTATTAAAAAAAATAGAGCGCCCCAGTTTAGTCCGTGGATTGTATGTAGCATTATCTAGCAACAATAGCGTTGTATAGAAATCGCCCATTGTGTGTGTTTCTGTCCTCTTCTTACCGACTTGGTAAAGCCTTCCCTCGGGAGAGAAGATGGTGATGTGTCGGTCAAATCCTGCGTTCGTTCCGCGGGACATCTCGCTGTTTCTCGCTGTTTCTGCGTCTCAGTCAAATCAATTATGTGATGTTTAAATTCTATAGTTTTAAATGTTTCTACATAGATCCAACTGTAGACAGTAAAACAACCCGACTGCAAGAATCACCCACTTCCTCAAACAACGCTTTTTACTTTCTCTTTCATTTGTTTGGTGCGTATAAAAAGAGCTCCTCCTGGATTTTCATTGGATGGTGGATTGGAGCAGGTCATACACCGTACGCAACCGGGGGGGTGGGGCGGGGGCATCAAAAACGCGCGGCGGTAGCTCCTGGTCCCTCACACAGATCCAGACTCACAGATATTGTGTATATATATATTGTAGGCATATTGTATTAGAATCAAGTATGCGCCGTGTGGGGTTCTATCTGAGCGACAAGAAGCGGCGGAAGATGAACCTGGACTCGTTTTCTCAGTTCTGTGAGTAAGTTACGTACTCTTTGGCTGGAGATTAAATCGTGTTATTATAATTGTGGTTAATATGAAAGGTTTAAAAAAATATATTTCAAGAAATTAAAGCTGGGCTACGTAACTTTCCCGCTTAGAAATACCTTATAAATACACTCCAGATAATGTATCAAATCGCTTGATAACAATTCAGAGGATATTGAAGTGATGCAAATGAAGAGCCCTGGGAGTCACTTTTGGACGATGTGAATGAATGCACCCTTCTTCTCATTTGACAAAGCTGTTTTTGGAAACCTACCGCAGTGGTTTGATTGTAGAACGAATGGAGCTTTTATTACAGACTCAGGGCCCAATATAGACACAAAAAGACAGAACACAAAAGTTAAAGTACAGATGGATGGATCTCAGAATGAACTTCCGGATCATTTTATGTTGACAATCAGGTTCGTCAGCTTTCTGTAAGTTTAATCTTAGCTTGTTGTGCTAAAGTTACAGTAATTTTGGAAGTCGTTTGTTGCCGATAAAGGACAAAGATGATCCGGGACATTTGAGAACATTTGTGGACATTGGTTGTCCTGCTCTCTATGGACCTCTGTGTTTTCATTATTGCATTTCCTGTGTTCGAACTGTTGGATTCTCTGATCTGTTGCTGCGGAATTGACAACTATGTAAAGTCCTCAGTCACTGTCGATTTCACAGTGACATTTGTTTACTGTTTTATTTGTTTTATTTTTGTCTTTTAATGTTGTTTTATGCCTGTATTTGTCTGTGCACACTGGTGACTTTTGCTAATGTATTCCAATGTGTTTTTTTTTTACTGCAAATGGCAAATAAACTGAATCTGAATCTGAATCTGAATCTGAATCTGGGGGTGACTGCTGTTGTGATTTAGGGACCAGGTGTTCATGTAACTCATACTAATCTATTACTAATGAATTTTTTTCTGTTTATAGGGGCCATGGCATACAAGTCATTGAGGTAATAAGTTTTTGTAAATGAATACATTGTGACAATTTATAGATTTTCTTTTCCTGGTCAAGTTCAAAACAACATTTAAGTGCTTTCCTCAGTGTCAAACTCAGGTGTGTGGAGCCTTTCCTCTCCACGTCAAAGCCACCTGCTGCATGTGGTGCTTCTCTATGAAACAAAAGCTATTCTTTAAAACAATAATAACTGGATTGTTTTTCCAGATAGACCTGAGTCAGGCTCTGGAGCCTCAGGGGCCGTTCGACATCATTATTCACAAACTGTCTGATGTTGTAGTGGAGGCCGAACATGACAGCCAGTCTCAACAGCTCCTCCACCGTTTCCAGGTAAGGCAAGGCAAGGCAAGTTTATTTGTATAGCACAATTCATACACAAGGCAACTCAAAGTGCTGAACAAAACAAGAAAGCATTAAAATCATAAATAATCACAGAACATTAAAAAGAAAGATAAAAATATAAAATCCCTCAGTTGTATGCACAGCTAAACAGAACTGTTTTTAACCTGGTTTTAAACATTGTCAGAGAGGAGGCCTGTCTCACATCTTCAGGAAGATTGTTCCAGATTTTAGCAGCATGAATCTGAAAAGCAGCCTCCCCATGTTTAGTTCTGACTCTGGGCACTAACAGGAGTCCAGTCCCTGTGCTCCTCAGAGTCTGGGCTGGTTCGTATGGGACTAACATGTCACTAATATATTTTGGTGCGAGGCCATGGAGAGACTTGTACACAAGCAGAGCTGTTTTAAAGTCTATTCTCTGAGCCACAGGAAGCCAGTGCAGAGACCTGAGGACCGGACTAATGTGGTTGTTGGAGCCAGTTTCCTGTGTTTTCCTTTGCTGCCTCCTGCCACTGTGTGGCGCCACCTCGATAGTATGCCCTATATAAGTGGGGCACTAATGACAGACAGGTGTTGTAGTGTGGAGGCAAACATCTTTCGACCGTTGTTTGTTACCACAGCTTTATATTTGTGTACTTGGCAACAATAAAGGATTGTAGAACACAGTATTTTGCTCTATTTGGATGGTGAGAGACACGCGTCCTAGACGCCAACACACTGCATCCAGCGGACCTTGCACAGGGCAAGTTTTGGCCGCTACAGTGGTCGTACTTCCTGGTTCTAGTCAGGACTCGAGCTGCTGCATTTTGAATGTACTGCAGCTGTTTTACAGCCTGTTTGGACAGACCTGTGAGCAGGCCATTGCAGTAGTCTAACCTACTGGAGACAAATGCATGGATAAGAATCTCCAAGTCTGCTTTAGACACTATGTTTTTGATCCTAGCAATGTTTTTTAGATAGTAAAAAGCTGCTGATGTTACTGATTTGATGTGGCTATTAAAATTTAAGTCTGAGTCCAGTATTACCCCTTGATTTCTGACCTTGTTTGAAGGTTTTAGGGAGAGAGACTGGAGGTGACAGATGACGCTCTCTCTTTGTTTCTGGGGACCAAAGACAATCATTTCAGTTTTGTCCGTGTTTAGCTGAAGGAAGTTGTTTTGCATCCACTCACTGATCTGTTGGATACAGTGAAGGAGTGAGTCCACTGGTCCATGTTCTCCTGCAGTCAGTGAGACATAGATCTGAGTGTCGTCTGCATAGTTATGATAGGACACTTCGTTTCTGCGTATTAACTGACCTAACGGCAGCATGTAGAGATTGAACAGAAGAGGTCCCAGGATCGACCCCTGTGGGACTCCACAGGTCAGGGCCATATGATCTGAGACACAGTTTCCAATCTCCACAAAGTACTTCCTGTCTTCAAGGTAAGACCTAAACCAACTTAGGGCGGTGCCAGCGACGCCAACCCAGTCCTCTAGTCTCTGTAAGAGGATCTCATGGTCGACGGTGTCAAAGGCAGCACTTAGATCTAACAAGATTAAGATTGAGACTTGGCCTGCGTCAGTGTTCAGCCGGATATCGTTTGTAACCTTGACGAGAGCAGTCTCAGTGCTGTGGTGGGGTCTAAAGCCGGACTGAAACATATCAAATGAGTTGTTGATTATAAGAAATCTAGTAAGCTGTAGGTAGACAACTTTTTCAAGGACTTTCCCCATAAATGGCAGATTTGAGATGGGACGATAGTTGTCAAGTACAGTGGCATCCAGATTGCTCTTTTTTAGCAGGGGCCTGATGACTGCAGTTTTCAGGACCTTTGGGGATATTCCAGAATGAAGGGACATGTTTACTATCTGTGTGAGTGAAGGTAACAGACTGCTCAGAACAGACTTCAGAAATCTAGTGGGTAGTACATCCAGGCTGCATGTGGAGGAGCTCAAACTGGAGATTATCTCTTGGACATTTTTATCACCTACAGGTGCAAAGTGAGTTAGCTCAAAGAGCCTTTCTGGCTGTTGGATTGTTATCTGTGGATTGGAGACAATGGCGTTTTTGATGCCTTGAACCTTGTCATTGAAAAAGTGTGCAAACTCATTGCATTTACGTTTGGAAGTTAGCTCTAATGGCATCTGAACAGGGGGGTTTGTTAATCTATTAACTGTTGAAAACAGAACACGCAGGTTGTTGCAGCCTTCAATCATTTCAGAAAAATACCTTTCTCTCGTACTACGTAGCACCCGGTTAAACTCGCACAACTTATCCTTGAATATCTTGTAATCAACCTGGAGGTTGGACTTGCGCCACTTCCGCTCGGCCCTCCGGCACTTTCTCTTCAGTGCTCTGACCGAGTCTGCTTTAGCCCACGGCGACTTCTGCTTATTTTTCACTATTTTAACCTTCACAGGGGCAACGGTATCCAGAACATTCAAAACACTAGAGGTGACAGAGTTAAACAGTTCATCTACAGTAGAATACGATGCATTTTCAAAGTTTATCATTCCCATAAATATTTCACCCGTATTTTCATGTATGCGTCTTCTTCGAACAGTTGCAGAGTCCACTGGTGGTTTGTTAGTGAAACACAAAAAATACACAGAAATGATCCAAAAGCGCAACATCGACCATGTTTACATTTGAAATATTCACCCCCTTAGTAACTAACAGGTCTAGAGTGTGCCCTCTGCTGTGGGTGGGGCCACTCACGTGCTGAGTGAGACCAAAGGTATCAAGTAAAGAACTCAGCTCTTTTGCATTTCTGTCATTAACATTATCCACATGAATATTAAAATCACCTGTAATAACTAAACTATCAAAATCTGTGCATACAACTGAAAGCAACTCGGTAAAATTATCAATAAAACTGTGACATGACTGCGGTGGCTTGTATAGGACAAGGAAAAGTATTGGAGGAGATTGTTTTTGTTGTATTTTAAAAGACACATATTCATAAGACGGAAACTTCCCAAGAGACATTCTATGGGAGACAAAGTGGTCTCTAAGAATGGCAGCTAAGCCTCCTCCTTTTTTGTTTTCCCGTATTTCAGATTCAAATTTGAAATTTGGTGGTGATGCTTCTATTAAAACTGCATTTTCTGTATTTTGGTCAAGCCAAGTTTCAGCCATGAACATAAGATCAAGATTATGAGAACAAATAAAATTATTGATTAAAAAAGACTTTGTTACAAAGAGATCTGACATTTAGGATAGCAAGTTTCAAGGATCCAGTGTCAGCGGTTGTGGTCGGCTGATTTTTACACGGAACAAGAATTAGATTTTCCAGATTAGACTGACTAACTTCAGATGTTTTTCTGTTATGTATTCTTTGTGTTATAACTAAGGGAATGGCACAGGTGGCTTCATGACGGGGCCCCAGCCGGGTCTCTTCTCTACCTAGACTGCCAGTGGTTGCAAAGCAGAGACCCTGTGCATCCTAGGGAGAGGAGGGAGGAGGATGGAGAGGTGGGTGGTTCTTGGGTGTTGGACGAGGGGGGTTGGAGGTGGATGGGTGTTAGGGAGGGGCAGGAGTTGGGAGATAGACGAGGGGGGAGTGGAGGTGGAGGGGTTCTTGGTGATGGGCTAGGGAGGAAACGAGAGGTGGGGGTGGGGATGGGGCTGGAATGGTTTTGGGGTTAGGGGAGGGACTGGTGGATTTTGTGGGAGAATTTGAGTTGGACGCCATGGGTGGCTTTGGAGGTACGTGTGGGGAGTAGTTGAATGATGAGTTAATGAATGTTAGATAGGACTCTTGATCTGGCTACAGTGGGTGTGAGAGGAATAGTCTTCATCGCCGATCTTATCATGCCTGCAGAGTGTTCCGGTAAATCCAATAGTGATGGAAAACACAGGGAAAGGTCGTCCTCATGTTCCTTAGATGGAGTGGATGTGGCGGGGGGGACCCAAACCGGGTCCATGGAAGGTGATGAGGGAGTCTTTGGTGGAGACGGAGGTGGTTGAGAGGCCCCCAGTGCAGGCCGGTCTGTAGCCTGGAGCAATGGGGGGGGCTTCACGGGAGCTGTAGGTGGGGAAGGTGCTGCTGAAGATGATGCAGCAGCCACAGCTGGTGCTGGTGGTGCTGATGCTGAAGGCGCTGATGACGCTGTGGCAGCCACTGCTGCTGCTGGTGCTGGATCCTCTGCTGATGATGATGCTGGTGGACGTGTTGAGTTCTTTTGAGGCGGTGGAGGTGCAGAGACCTCTGGGTTCCGTGGAGAGGGTCTCGCCCTTTGCATCCTCTTCTCTTTCAACGGCTGAACGCGCTGTGCAGGCTCAGGTCTTAAGGCAGATGGAAAGTTATCCATCAACACTTTTACTCCGTGTTTGTTCAGATGTGGGCCTTTCCCTTCAAAGAGCTCGAGCCTATTCCAGAACAGATTGAAGTTTTCAATGAATCCAAGTCCTCTGCGTGAACACTCATTGTGTAGAATTGTATTTAACTGGTACAGACGGCTAAACTTCTCGATTTTTCCATTTGCATTTGGAAGGGGTCCACTGATTAACACGCGTAACTCAATTTTTTTAATGTCATCCAGCAGCAGAGAAAAATCTCTTCTCAACTTCTCGGTGGATTTATCATGAATGTCTACTGCCCCTATGTGTATCAACAATGTACTTACACCCTTGGTTTGAGATAACACTTTTGGCACCAGAGTTCTTATCTCAGACACTTTGGCCGAGTGCACAGAATGAGTCTGTACAAAGTTCAAAGATACATTCCGAATGGCAGAATCTCCAAGCAGCCTTGACGGAGCTGTGGCTTTGCTTCTTCAAACATAGCAGCATAACGATTTGAACATAACGATTCCAAACATTTCGTGGCAGAATTCCACTCCCATTGTCATTCTTAGCTTTGTCAACTTTGGGTTTAGCGCCGCATTTTTTCCAATATTCCTCTTTGTTGATTTTGGGAAAAGTAATTACGTCATCATAACTTACATTTCCAGTCTGTCCATTCATTCCATTTTAACACATTGGAAGAGTCGGGTTAAGTCCCATTTCTGTTTCCAAAATATCCATCCGTTTTTGAAGAAATTTCAGCTGATTTTCCAGAGTGCAGCAGCCATCGCATTTAATTCTTTGTTTCTTCCGTCCGGACATGATTAATGTTGACAAATTTCACAAAGCTGAAGTCTGCAGAATGAGTAATCCGTGTTTTGTAGAATAAAAACGTAAATAAATGCGATTAAAAGAGATTACAAAGCGAAGCAAGCAACGTAGCAGCAAGAAACACGTCTACACACTCCAAGCAGGAAGTGTGTAGGTACAAAAACACCAACAAAAAACATAAACAACATA